TGGTTTTGTTGAATCATTTAGTGCAAACTATTGTTGTAGATTTTGTTTAACTGATAAGACAGAGTTGCAGTCAGTTTTTAGTGAAGATCATGTAGGCTTAACACTGCGTTCCAAAGAACTTCATTACAAACACTGTGGTGCCATTCAACAAAATCCTGCTTTGGCCTCAACATTTGGTGTAAAAAGAAATTGTTTACTCAATTCACTTCGGCTGTTCCATATTTCCGACAACTATGCTGTAGACATAATGCATGATCTACTAGAGGGAGTGGTGCAGTATGAGTTAAAGCTTGTGTTTCAGTACTTGATTAAGACCTCTTTGATATCCTTGAATTCATTGTCACAGAGAATTATAAGCTTTAACTACGGATATGCACAGAGAAGGAACAGGCCAGGTGGGCTAAAACTGGATGACAACAGCAAAGATCTTGGGCTTAATGCTGTGCAGTCATGGTGTCTTTTGCGGAATAGCCCATTGATTTTTGGAGATATTGTTTGCAGAAATGATGGACATTGGAACTTGCTACTTTTGTTAGTTCAAATTGTGAACATTGTTTTTTCACCCATTATAACTCATGGCATGACTTGCTATTTGAAACATCTGATTGCCGATCATCACAAGGCTTTCAAATCTCTCTTTCCAGAACGGAATTTGATTCCAAAGCACCACCTAATGATCCATTACCCACGCTGCATTAGAAAAATTGGGCCACTCATACATATGTGGTGCATGAGATTTGAAGCAAAGCACAAGTTCTTCAAAAGATCTGTAAAGAACTTTAAAAATATCACAAAAACACTAGTAAAAAAACATCAGAATCAATTAGCCTTTCATTTTGAAAATTTTTATTTTAAAAGATTACAGTTTGGCCCCATTAATGAAGTCTTGGCCAGCAGCTTAAAAGGCAGTGAAGCACTGAATAAAATGTTTGACGTTTCTTCTATTGTTTCTACAACTTCCTGGGTCAAAAGTTATGGTACAGAATATCAAGTTGGGATGTATGTTTGTTCTGGTGTTGAAAATGAGATGCCTTTGTTCAGTAAGATTGTCAATATAATTGTTAGAGATTTCAATGCTTATCTTCTAACTTGTAAGGTCTCAACAGTATATTTCAATGATCACTTAGATGCATTTGTTATTGAGGATGGATTAGATGTCTTTGCACTGATCTCTGTAGATGATCTGGTGTACTATAGACCTTATGATAGGCAATTTTCAAATGGCACTGATGACAAAATGTACATTGTCCTATACTGTTATTTTGTATAACTTGTTTACTTGTGGTGTATCTGAATACAAAGTATTTTGGAATGTTAATGTCTTGTATTTCTTTGTAATGGGTAGATGTTAGGGGTTAATTGTAGCAGTAGAGATATCAGAGATTAATGGGAGTTTATTGTAATCTGGTGGTATTGATGATTTGACTGACACTAGTGTTAGTGTTAGAAAATTAACACTATTCAGAGTTGAATTTTTAAACACCAGGGCTAGTGTAAAGTACTACCAACACTATTCGGTGTTAATTTTTAACACTTAACACCAGTGTAGAATATTTTTGACACTGGTCAGTGTTACTCAGTGTTAATCTATAACTCTGTGCAGTGTTAAAATAACACTAGGTCATTGTTAAAAATATAACACTTTGAAAAGTGTTAATTTAACACTCAAAAGAGTGGACACATATAGACACTTTGCTAGTGTGAAATTAACACTCACAGTGTTAATTTCACACTAGCGATTTTGCTGTGTACATGCAAAGAGGCTTTCAAGAAAATTACAAGGATGCCATATAGTTTACAACATATCTTAACTGGACAAATCCTCAGATAAACCACTTCAAAAAACTGCAGACGTCATTAAAAGGGCAATATAACAGAAGATGGTTAGACGCCGAAACAGCAGGCATATTGCCAGGCTCGTGGATATGGTGACCACGGCTTAGTTGATATTAGCTGCACCGAACAAGCACAACTGTCAAGATAGACAGGATAGAGATAAGACACTGAGTTGGTTTAAGATGCAGTTTATCCACAACATAAATGTCTGCTGTATGAATGGGTGATCGAGGTGTGTTGTACAAAGTGCTTTAATGGCTCAGGTTGAGTAGAAAAGCGCTAAATAATAACAGTCAGCAGTATGGCTGCCAGTGATCACATGGGAATATTTTACGCAGTCTAATTTTAAAGAATCTGATTTATTTGATCAACACATCAATGATTCATCAGACACTTTGAGTAAAGTTGATTTATGAAGTTAAATAAACAGACAACACAAAAGGTTAAATGTAGATAAAAGTTTAACATTAAAACAAAACTCAGCAGGAATGTTTAAACATAACCGTTTACAGCTGTAACAATGTCAGCAAACAATCTTTAAATATATGCAGCAGTTTCTAAAGTAGTGTTCTTTAAATGTTACATTTATTATTTTTTATTGTACTTAAAAAATGTTTAGCAAGGAATTGAAAGTGAAATAATGAAGAATTCACATTGATAGGCATCGTAGTTTAATATTGAAATGTTATTTTAATGTTGTTGTATGTGTACTGAGTCAAAGTATACCAAATAATCATGGATATGTTCATGTTGCTGAAATAATGTTTTTAATGATGTCATTTTAGTCGTGTTAATGTCAATTTCCAATAATAACCCTGCTAACAGGGCTGCAGCATCCTTTTTAAAGAAATTCTAATATAATACTAAAGCTAGAGCTCTCTGGCAACAGAGAGGCTGCTTCCTACTCATTTATCTCCATCAAACCAGGCTCAATTCAGTCTGTAACAGGATTACTAATATTCACTGTATTTCAGAATGACAAAACACAGA